GTAGTGGCTTCTGAACTCAACTTATTTCCCAATTGTGCTTTATATTACAAATTTGAGATTTAGCTTTACTACTAATAGGAATGTTTGAGGGGTTGGAATAGTGGAGTAGCTTCAGATCCGTGGCTGGAGGAGCTGTCAGAACAGAGAATTTCTTAGGAAAACATGCTCAAGACTGTGTGCTCAACACGCTAAAGCAGTTGTGAGGTTAGCCAAACTTCACAGGGCATCAGAACCAAGACCAAACTCCTGGGCTCAGCCTGGATCCAGGCGATAGGTAGGTATTGAGGTGGTGGAGGTGGTGACTGTGCACCTTTGTTTTCCTTCGCAGTAGGCTTTGTCTGGTGTCGGGAATGCTCCTTTTGATGATATGAGAATTCCACAGACAGTGAGATGTTAAGAAAATACAAGAAACTATAAGTTCAAAAGCATAATTTCACAGGAAATTTGTACTCAGGCTGCAAAAATTTTATGCCCCATAAAAGGGAAAAGGAAAACAAACAGGATTTTCTTTTTACAGTAGAACTAAACACTCCTTGGAAAATATTAGGTACATACTTCAGTATTATTGCTATTTTTCATATTGCCTAGCGGAAATTAAGGGTGCAGCTTCAAGGTTGCCTTAAGCCAGACTAGCCGTGTGTCATCCCAGAGAGGGGGCAGGTCCTCCCTCCCACACTGCTGCATTTTGAATTCTTTTCTCTTTTAGTACTTTGCAGTCCTTACATGCCCAGTTTCTTACCTCAGACTATTTGGGACAGTGATGAACCTTCACTTGCCACCCCTACTAAGAGACTTGGAAAAAGGCAGGACCATAAGAGCTGGGTCCCACTGCAAGTGTTAAGTAAAGCCTTTCATCTGTTCTGAGATCTGCAGGCTGGAATCATAATGCTCAGTCTTTGCTTTCCTCCCACATTATCTTGTTAGGAAATGTGAATGGATACCTTGTTCTGGAAACTTGGTTTGTCATTTCTGTTAATATAAGCAGGACAAAGTGTCCTTAATTCTGACTAGTATTTTTGCAAGTCACCACGATACAAATGGTAAGTGCTACGCACTGAGTCTGTTACCACAGAAAACCAAAATGCTGCCTATTCTTGCGCTGCAGTATTGCATTCACACTCTCAGAGTCACTGCTCTGGTTTCTATGATTTGCTGGTTGTTTATCTGAAACGAGTACCTCTTAGGAGACTTGTAGGAATGTTTTTTATTCCTTGTGTTTCGTTCTCTGATTAGGAGAATAAAAAAATACATGCCAGGTCAACCTATGCTCCCCGTTCCACATTGCATCTCTTCTCACTGCAGCTAATTTACAGGTTGTTAAGTGCCAGTGTGCTATGGTGTTTCAGCTCCATATGTTTAAAATGGCCTTTAGATGTGCTCAGATTTTCTGCAAAATTCCAGCATCTGAAACATCTCTTCATCCCTGGCAGTTTTCTGTTCTTGTTTTCATCATAGCTGTTGTCTGTTTGCTTTGCTTTGTGATCTGTGGCAGAGAGGGGACTATAGTTCCAGCTTGTAATTACCTGAAACTATGTTTTATTTTGCCCACTAAAAGAAGGCATCTCATTTTTTGATGCTAGGTGGTGTATTTACCTTTGTTTCTTTTGCTTCCTTGGTTGTTTGTAAACTGTTCCAATGAGTTACCATGCGCTGGGTTTTGTCCTTGAGAGATAAGCATTGCAAACTTTTCATGGGCTTCAGAGAAGGGATCATTTAAAAATATGTATTTTAATGATAGCAAAGAGACAGCGTTCTGTGTTTAAACATACTGACCTATGAACGACTCCCCCAGAACAAGCAAAGTGTATTACCTTGTCTTTATTCTTCTGCAAAGATGGGACTTTTTAGAATTTATTACTGACATGCACAGGAGATTAACCTGTTTTCTTAACGATAATTTATAATGATATTATAATCTGCTCTGTGTAATGCTCTCTTACCCAACGGAAATGAAAACAACTCTAGTATGAAGAAACTCTGTTGCTGTGGCTGACATCTAGTTGACCTCACTGATACTACACACCCATTAATGGCAGCATTCACCATTTCCCTTCGCAGGAGTCGCTCCTGAAGGCTTCGCCTGCGTGGGCTACACAATTCGTTTCTGGAAATATGCCATAGCCAAGGACAGAGGTGCTTAGATTTTCAGTGCGCTTAGGCAAGGCCCCTCAAGGTCATATTTAGTGTTACGACATCAATGGTGTGAAGGTGGTGGAATATGTCAGTGCATCCAGCCTCCCCCTTTTTTTTTTTTTTTGACTAAAGCTGATTTTTAGCGGGGGTAGTCAAAGGAACATTGAGCATGTTTTGGAAATCCTTCATGGAGCTGTCTTTTCAGCAGCACAGCTTAGTGGTAAAGTTCTTGCTACAGCCAGGAATAATAAAACAGCAGGGTGCTGATAGCTGAATGAAAACAACAGCTAATTGCCTCTTTTTATGTGAAAGACTCCCCTCTTGGCTGATGTGCCTTCTGGAGGGAGGGAAGTCCATATGCAGCTTGGCCAGGGGCATGCCAGTCATTCTGCGAAGTCAACCTGTTTGTCTTTGCCATATCCCTGGAGCAGGGGTTCTAAGCACTCCCTTTTCCAGCTGGGAAACGAATAGACAAAGCAATTTTTACTTATTTATTTTTAATGGACTCGTTTGTTTTCCTTGAGCTCAGCACACAAAGTCAACACATTTATGCATTAGCATGACATGATCTAACCTCAAGGCCCCTTCACAGCTCTTGGTGGATAACCTCAGCACCCGGAACCTCCTCTCCTTCCCTGTTCCGTGTCCCCTGCGTAGTGAGGATAACAGCTAGCAGTTTCAGCTAAGGATGATATTAATGTCTAAAATACAGCTTTCCCAAAACCCCCTGGAAACAGTCTGGATGATTACTATTAGTAGACAGTATATACATGTTGTTATTCCTTTGTAGTAGAGGAAAATGGTTGAAAATGAGTTAATACTGATGAATGTGCAGATAGCTGAACATGCAGAAAGGTGGTAAAACATTTACCACGCAGCCTGCAGTGTAGTTAGCTTTTTATCTGATTTGCTGCTCCTGCTGCTACTGTTGGGCCTGGGCTTGGGTGGGGAAAGAGAAGGATCCAAAGGCTCTTGGATCTTTTCTTATAAGTCATTTAATCAGGTGTGCTGATACTTTGATATATGTAGGCTGGATGGGACTAGACAACTTAACCAGACTGGCTCAGGAACACGTATTATCTCTACCTGGAGTAAATTCTCACTAGAGTTATTGTTTATTTTCCCTTTTCCACCCCAATGATAGTGCAAATTAATGGCACCTGTTAACTATTAACTACAGCTTGTGTTTATCTTCTCCAGAAACTCCACCCTGGGAAGACCTCAGACCTGTTGGAAGCACAATCTGACTATCCCTGGGTCAGGCTACAAATGATCGGCCATAAGTTTGCTGAACAGGAAAGGATTAAACTATGAACGATGTAAAATGAGATGGGTAATGGGGTTGAAAGTCTTAGAGCTAGGCCACCAAATTCAATCTAACACTGTAAAGTTTTATGCATGGTTGGGAAGGGAATTTTTTTTTTTTTTTTTTTTTTTTTTTTGAAACACAGGCAGATAGCTGTTCAACCCCAAATTAAAAAAAAAAAAAAAAACAGTGGCAATTAGCTGTCCTTTGGTAACCTCCTCCTGGAAATCATTTGCATCTGAGAATTATTTGTTAGCCCAAATGAAGTTAGTTGGAAATCTCAGGGACCTTCTGAGGAGGCAGATGCCCACATCACAGAATTATTATCCCAGTGAGCTTGGGTGTTAACAGTCTCAACAGATGCAGCCTTGGGTTTGTTTGTCTTAGGAAGAAGCCTGCTGCTGGGAGACGTGAATTACTTTTACATCTGTTAGGTAGGGGTTGGGTATTTCCATATCCCTAACTTTAAATCTCATATCTCTAATCTTCTAGATAAAGAAAAATAAACATGTGCTGTTGATTTTGATAATTACTGAACTTGCTGATGGCTTGAAAAGGATAAAAAGAAGGTGTGTCCGGTATTGCCCAGTTTTAAGCCCACAAGAAATCTTATCACCTTTCATAGGAGAAGCAGGCATGCTCAGGTTATTGCTTAAGCAACGTTTTGTTAATAAAACGTTTTGCAATTCAATCTGCTATTGAAGAGCCAGGGCAGGCTAAATGAAATAAAGCTAAAATTAGGGGTGGTGGGATCTTAGACATGCACATACCTTGAAAATTTAGGGTAAATTAAATAGCTGCAGGGATTCATAAAAGAAAAAAATAAAAGAAAAGAAAAAGATTGTTGGTATTTCCAAATGTTATTGGGAAGTAATGGATCAAGACTTCTCTTTCAGTTTGGACTTGTTCCATGATATTGTGCTGTCGAAAAGTAGTTCTGTGTCTACAGACAAAATGCTCGCTGCTGCAGATCACAGAAATGATGTTAATGGCTGGGAAGACAATACAATGTAGGCAGTTAATGAAAGAGCTTGAGCTGTACAGAAAATTAATTTGAGCAGACACACACATATATAGAAAGCAAGATTAATTTAGAGACCTTTGTCATTAAAGCAGATTTTTGTATGGTTTTGTGTGGGATTTAAGGGGGATTAAATGTTTGACATCACTTTGCCTGCACAGGCTATGTTGAAGAGGTTACTGAGCGGGTGATGGAGAATTCAAATACATGCCTATGCTGAAAGGATGGAAGCAATGGATCAGACTGCAGCCTCGCCAAACAAATTGCTGTATCTACTACATTTCTAAAACCAAGGTGCTCCTGGTTTGACAGCAGATGCCGCAGGGATGTAGAGCTGAAGGAATTTTTATGATTTGCCAAAATACGAGGGGAACTCGGCAAGGATGTCAGAACTGGGATGCCCCTGTCTTCTGTCTTCAGTGATGCCTTGCTTCACGTGCATCCTTTGTATGCTATGCTGTTTCTAAACAGTAAAAACACTGAAAATAAAAAGTCAGCAAGGTGGACTGGCTGATCAGGTGCGTTTCTCTTTTGGAAGAGATGGTCCTGGTCATGAAACTTCTGTTCCTCACCTGCCTGTGGCCAACAGCAGTGCTACCCAGTTCTCAAAGTCAGCATCGCCATCTTCATCATCGGCAACAATTCTCATTCTTAAGAAAGCATAACAGGTAAGCAATATACTCTCTCCGTCTGTAGTCATCTGATAAACTTCATGCTGTCAGCAACCTTGCAATGCACCCTTTTTGTTCACTGTCCTGTTTTGCCAGTTTCTGGATTTATAGTATGCAGAGTATTGATAGGGGGTTCCCAAAACAGAAATGGTGAACTATTAATTAATTTTTCATACCCAGATACTTCATATTGTGATTTCATGAATGCTTCATATAGATGCAGGTATGTACACATTCACACTCACACACGGCTCTTTTAACTTGCATAATACCAGCCTACTCCTGTGATACTGGGCTACTATTGTGATGTACCAAGTATTCTTGCACTTTCACTCCCACCACAAGAAGCAGAAATGCCTTCCAAAGTTCTATCCCAATGTTATAAAGTGACTTCCATTACCTAAACAGGAGAGTAGCTACACTATCAAGATACAGAAGACATTTTTATGGCGCTAAAGAGGTGAACTGTATCTTATTTGTAGTGATGACACAGCGTGTTCCCTTTCTGGAATATACTTACACTTTTAGACACTGAAGATTGTCTCTGTTCTTAGCCTTTCCAATCAAGTAGCTGGTTTAAAATGAATAATGATATAAAGAAATGTAAGTTTCTGTGCTAAGTGTTAGTGCTTTTTCCCACAAATGCAATTTCACATGTGATGTCTCTGAATGTGTTTCCAGATTAATCTGATAGTACATGAACAGACCAATGACTGCCAGTGATAATCCAAGCAAAATCTCTCTTTGTTGGGAGGTAGGAGAAATTGTTTTAAGTAGCTCCATTTATGGAAGGAAATGGGATACAACTGTTACATTTTTCTATGTACTTGACTCCCTATTAAAATGGGCAGTGGAGTGCATATTTTATTCATACAATATCACATACCGAGGAAAAGTAACATAAGTGGACTCCTCTGATGTGTTTCTGTGTTTTTTTCAAGTTACATGCTTTGCAGCAGGCATACAGCCATTTCCCTTCTGTATCACGTATGTGATAATCCATCAGTGGCACATCTCTGAATCCCTACATGTCTTGATAAAATCACATTTAAGCAATGCAAGGCAACGCGAGATATCCCAGTGACACAAGAGAGATGCCTGGAGATGCTACATCGCTCAGTACTTCTGAATTTCAGTTCAAGGTCATAAGTTCAAGTTTGCTCTAAGCTCAAAGCTCATGAAAAGAATGGCTGTTCAGCAGACTGTTTCAAACTCTCACAGTTCTGGAGTGAGTGCTGGTGCACGATTCTTTGCAATAACAAAACAAAATAAACAGAACTAGCCCTAATATTGACATAAGGTCTAATCTGGTGCTTTACTAGTCTCAGGAAGCAGTTAAGAATCAAGTGGAAACAGAATAAAATATTTTCTTATTGCTGTAGTGGTAAGGAAGGTCTATTTTCAGCTCAGCTGTTATACTTTTGTCAGTGGTAAAAGGGAAGCATGTGCTACTGTTGTTTGCTTTTATCCTGTTCTGCCATACCTGAGAGGAGTTGCTCCATCACTGACATAAAAAATCACAAAGCAGGAGAGAAGCCCGGTGGTAGGAGACAGCATATTTTGTGGCATCCTGCTTGGACACCCTTTGTGGACCTCTTGCCACAGGCCAGCAGAAACAATACTAGTGTCCAATCCATCTTCACAGATCTTTACTAATACATACAAATGGATCCATACGATGATCCTGTGAGACAGCCAGAAAGGAACAGGAGCAAGGAGGCATGCCAGGACTGCATTCTCAGCTGATGCTGACTAGCGGAGCAGTTTTCTTTACACAAAGCAATGCTTTGGCCTTCCATGTCTTCATTTCCTAGGTCCTAGTGATTTGAAACTGGGAAGACGACTGCAGAATCAGAGCCACAGAAGATCCCAAAGCTTAACAGCTGCAAATCAGCTTTTCTGTGGAAAGGATCCAAATACGTTTAATTTCTCTTTGTTTGATTCTCTGGTTTTGTTCTAAAGGCAGCATTATCCTCCAGTACATTGCAATGGGGTCTGACTTCCCACCAGCCTCTTTTTCTTTCTGTGGAAAATCCTTTCAGCCAGCACTAGGGTTATTAGGGACACAGCTGACAGATGGCCTTGGTTAAATGGGTGGCCTTTTAAAAAGAATCCCATGTGAAAATGTTACTTAACCTACAAGTTCCACTGTTTTAATAGAGTAACCCAATTCTCCCTTCAAAGCTATTTGTCTGCATTCTCTTGTAAAGAAGATTTTAAAGCATTAACCAAAAGTACATGAGAAAGAGATTATTCTCATGGTCCATTTCCTACAGCAAAGAACAAAACATTTGACTGTCAAAGTATTAGGCTTTTTGACAGTACATGTTGCTGAGGTTACTGAACACTTAGAAATGCATTTTTATGTGAGAGAGAGAACTGTACAGTTTAATTATTACATTTATCTGGGCTTCAAGATCTGTAGTGATGAGGATGGTGCTGGCAATGTGTTTATATCTTCCTGAATACCCAGAGGTGCTTCAGCCTTCCTCCAGTCTCCGACCAAGAACTTTTCCCGTATCATTAGTTATGCAGGGCATTAAAACAGAACAACCACCATGCAGGATCTTACCAAAGGTCCATGTACTATAGCGATGTGTTTGCAACAAGGGCTGTAAGCACAAGTTTGGAAGAATAAGGACAGGGCAAACAAATAAGATATATCCCGCCAATACTCCCACCTGTATCCAGTCACCAGATTTCTCTCAGAGACTTCCTGTGTTGGATGTCATTTCTGCAGATTTAGTGACCTTCGGTGGATTTCTTTTCCATTAACTTGTCCAAGTCCTCCTTGAACCAGCATAAACTTTTGATAACCTGGTAAGTTAAAGACAACTAGATGGGATACTAACCACATCAATCCCATGAATGCCGCTGGTTATGGAACTACACGGATGCCATTATGTGGTTCAATGCTTTAACCAAAAACCATCCAAGTACCCTTGAGCAGACCTTTGATCTTTCATTCGCTATTAGGTATTCAAGGTTAGGCAGGAGCAGCTAAATTTGTCTTTAAAACCCTGCCACATATTTGTCCATTGTTAAAGAATTCTGAATTAGTTGCTTTGGTTTTGTAAGCAGTGACGAACCGGTCTTTGAGAGCTCTGTCAGATACCAAGGCATCGAGCCTAAGTCCATCTAACAGTATTGGGTAGTGAAGTAGCCAAAGAGTGTATCTCACTCTTTTTTTATCCAAAGAGCTAGTGTTTCCATTAACTTCCTAGTTAAGTACCAGCAGGGGTGTCTTCCCTATGTGATCGGAAACACTTCAAGTGCTTTTTATGACCTCTGTTGGAATTTAATTATAGATTACCATTTCATTTGCATAATGTAAAATGCTGCCTGGAATACAGCTGTGGAAAGCAGAGCTATTATAACTGGGAGCAGTAGTTTCTTGAGCATATGCCTCACTGAGACCGACAAACTCTTATTTATCATTGCCCAGTTCTATGCCAATACCAAGCCATCTGTCAGAGTTCCCTTTATTACTACTACTATAGGTAGGTAAAGAGAGATTTCCTTTCCTTAGGTGCATGCATCTGCTGATGATTTCACAAAAATTTCTGCACTGAAAGGGTTGTCAAGCACTGGAACAGACTGCCCAGGGAAGTGGTGGAGTCACCATCCCTGGAGGTATTTAAAAGATGTGTAGGTGTGGTGCTTAGGGACATGGTTTAGTGGTGGACTTGGCGGTGTTAGGTTAATGGCTGGACCTGATGATCTTAAAGGTCTTTTCTAACCTAAACAATTCTGTGATTCTGTGTGGGCTTTTCCTCTCAAACACCACAGCCTGACATCTGCCATGCAAAGAACGTGCACAATCAATGACTGCATTTAGACTCCTAGATTATGGTGCGCTGGCCAAAGCTGTGTGATAAGAGACCAGGGTGCAAGGCCACCGAAATATAATCTGTGTCTTTGCTATGCTTCTGTGAGAATGAAAAGTATATCTTGACTGATCTTGGGAAGCTTTTCTGAGACCTAGGCTAGTTAGATCTGTCTCTTCTGCTTTTTAATAGAATTGGTGCCATGCGAAGGAGCACTCAAGAAAACATCTGCTGATGATTTCACAATGCTGTCGTGCTGATCAATAGTTAGATATGGGTCTAGGACTTCTTGGGAGTAAACAAATATGACTCCCTTTGAATCATCAGTTAAATAACTGTAATGATGCTGTGAGGACAATTTAATACTGTAACCCTTAGCCAAGGAGCAACATCTGGAGTCCAGATGCTGATGTTAAAGGAATATCTGCTGGAGAACACTTTTTAGCCTTGAGTGGGGAAGCAGTCAAGAAGGAGAAAAAATGTGAAGCAGAAGTGTATTATTTTTTAATTATTTTAGAAATTTTTACAGGATTTTTCTAAGTTTTGGTACTTTTACACACCCAATGTTACCAGTGACCATGAATTTAATTCCAAGTACCATGAGCATGTATGTCTGCACATAAGCCTATTTTCCTTTACAATAAAAAAATCTATTCTGCCAAAGGAAGGTATTGAAGAAAAGATGTAGCATGTTTGTAATGAAAGTGCTATTGTGACTCCTGCAAGATCTTGACTAGATTGAACAACCACTTTTGATAGCAGCTAGAAATAATTATAGCTACTCGATCTTTGTAGATAAAACAACAGCACGAAGAGGCTGTTCAAGTAAGCGGGGACAAAAGATGCTTTTCATATAGGCAGCATTTCTGTTTATTTTGTCCTCATCCAGGAAAACAGAAAGAATATCAAAATCCCATAACCTCTCTTCTCAGTGTCTCATTAAGAAAAAAATTCCTGCCCTGGTAGCTTATGTTTTGCCTCTCGTGACTAGGGAAAATCTTTCCTCAGTCACATACTTGCTTCTAGTAAGAAGTTGTAATAGATGTATCATAGTTTTAGCCTGCTTCTTCCGGTGAAATCATTGCAGCATCAAACATCCGATGACAAATAACCTAATGCTTCCAAACTGTATTAGCTGTGCCCTGGCATTCTGAACATAATTCATCATTTTCTCTTATACTGGTTCCTAAGCGGCAAAATTTCCTCATATACCTATCACAGAGCATTGCAGGTGTTCAGCTCTGCTGCCCATCCTACTCTGATACAGGCTTGCTGTGTGGTGATTTTAATTCTCTGAAGCATGGGCTTTCATTTTAGCATCCACATAATTTTCATACTTAGAAAACTAGTCTGTATTTGAAATGCCTTATGGCTGTTCTGATTGCCCTGATAATTTGGTTCAGACAACACTGCCAGAGACATTCAAGCTTACTAAGATAAATTAATTTGTTCAAACCCAACGGTTCTAAATAGCTCAGCAGCTACCTCAGCATTCCTGTAACATAACATTTTAAAAAGTAGTTTCTTGGGCTTCATTATTAAGAAAAAAAAGGGGGGGGGGGGAGATAAATACCGGTGCATACCTCATCCTATCATCCTAAGATATTTCATACCTCATCTAAAGCAGTGTTTGACTACAGGGCAAATCTTCAGAGCAGATTTCTATCATTCAGTCTAAAGTAATAATTACAGTTGCTGGCAGCAAAGTCCCAGAGAATCACAGAAGGCATAAAAGAAGTTATGTCTAGGGAGAGTCCTTTGCCTGTGGCAAAGCAACTGTATTTAAGTCATTCCTACATATGTCTAACCTAATCTTAAATAGCCGGAGTGCAAGGAGTCTCAAAACCTGCCCAAGCAGTATGTTCCCATGTTTCACTGTTCTCACCGTGAGAAAGGTGTTCCTAATGTGTACCATAGATCTCCCTCGTTGCCACTGTTTATCCTAGCGGGGAGCGGACATGGAGCAAAGGGCTCTGTGAAACCTCATGATGTGTTCTGAAGACTGTGATGTGTTCCCTCAGTCTTTCTCTAAATTAAATTACACAGGTTCTTACAATCTTCACATGCCTTTCCTGACATAGGGGCCCAAAGCTAGGTGTAATTCTGCAACTAAGGCATGGCTAGTTATGTTACTACTTGGGGCCGGCCACTTAAAGGAGAACATGCAACAAGGAGTGGAAACTTACGGAAACACCATAGCATTTTCCTTATAGCAAACCAAATAATTTAACAAATTATTTCTACAGCCTGTGTCCCCCAGCCGCCAGATCTTACTGTAGGCCTTATTTGTGTTTTAACACTTTTGTGATATGAGCACGTACCAGACCTCTCTGCTGTCTATGCCATGGTTTCTGTTTATAGGAAAAACAGAAAAGGAGTCTGCATTGTGATGGAGCATCTGCTGTTCATTTTAAATGCAGGCCCAGCACATGAGATTTCCATCCGGAGAGCTCGAGTCCATTCTTAGGCATATGAATTTCCCAGTGGAGTTTGGGGTGTTGTGCAGTACTTTCTACAAAGGGAAGAGCATTAGCAAGAGTCACCAGAAAGAAGTACAGAATTCCTGGCATCCCACTTAAAGCACAGGTTCATCTGTGTTGCCTTGGTGCATCGCAGAGGCTCAGTTATGTGTGGCATGGGGAAAAATGCAGATACAGCACGCTGGATGCATGTCTGAGCGGCAAACAAGGGGATGAGCTAACGAGTAACTTGGCCAAATCTGAGTGATGTTTAAGAGGATCTCAAAAAAACAAGTCCCTGGATCCAGGACAATCAGTTCCTCAGTCCTTCTGAAAAATTATTGACTCATTTGAGCTCCTAGGAAAAAACGAGATTTATAATAAAACGTATAATTGTCTCTGTAATATGGATAGTGTATAAAGCGGTTTAAAACCATGGCTACGTGGTGTTACTTCCAAGTCTGAGTTGCAAGTGGTTATGTGAATAATAAAATTTTTTCAAACAGCTATAATCGCTTATATAATGATAGATACAGTCTCTGAGGGGAACAGAAGAAGAGCTAGATGTTCGTCTTGGGACTTCTTATATATAACCGGTGTTCCTTATGGACCTGGGCACCCTCATACCTGATTTCCCTACCTTTTCCAATATGTCTTTCTCCAACGTTATTAGCACAGTTGTTTCCCTTATCATACCAGATTCAACTGTCCAGTATTCTTGGGTCCCTGCTTCATTTCACTAGCACTCTGAATGTCAGGCAGAAAAAACCCCAAAGTTTCTTACTTTTTTTTTTTTTTTTTTAAAAACATAGCAAACGAGAAATTAAGATGCGAAAACTTGACAGCACGAAAGTACGGCCACTTAAATCTGAGCAGCTTCTTCGCATAGAGGACCATGACTTTGCACTGAGGCCTGGATTTGGAGGTAAGCAGCACATGCCTGCACTGTGCTGACTAGTAGTTTATCCTCTCTCTGGAAGTTTCCTTAAACTCTGTCCAGCAGTGTTTTTAAATTAAAATTGAATGACAGGCTTAATTGCAGCTCGACTCTGTTGTTGTACTCCAGGAAATAAAGAAAGAAGAAATTCAGAAATACTTGAAGGCAAGGGACTTTTTTGTGTTTAGCATATCAATAGGAGAAACTGTTCAAATTGTCTCCTTTCAGAGCTAATTAAAAAAAATATTATTAGAATGAGATTCTTCGAGAATAATGATTAAGGTATCCCTGTAAACTGCATAGTCTAGTAGCAATTAGCAAATTACTTAGTCATCAGATTTGTTTGGAGAGATTGAAATAAACCATCAATTCCTAAATCGGTTTGCTCTGTACAAAATTAAAAAACTACCCACAGGCCTTCAGTCTATTACCATATTGTTTCTGTGTTGTTAGGCACTAGGATGATTATTTCTTGATTTAACTAAATTGCATGTGGATAAAGGGAGTATTCAATGGGATGTTCCGTTGGGATTCAATTTTGACTCGCCTTCATGGAAGGTGAAATGAGAAAGCTGCCCCACTAGTAAGCTTTGTCTGAGTCTTTGCGTCACCAGTTCCGTGTTCATGATTCATGAAAATAGACTGAACTGCTCTGGATTATGGAAACCAAAATAAAATACATGAGGGCCAATAATCAGCTGTGTAAACAAACATAAATCTGAGAGGCTAGCTGAAGTCTGTGGAGCTATTCTTGTTGACACCAGCTGCTGAGACCTGGGGCCTGGCAAGCATGCCAGGAGGGAGACCTGGGGTAAGAAGAGCCTCTCTGGATGCAGTGGGAGAATGTGAAAGGGTTTCTTGTTACCTTAGAAATTCTGTCCCATCAGAGAGCAAAAATCTTGCCTGATTTTGAACAAGATTTGAGATACATCTGTTTCTTGACTACAAAAGTTAGGATTACCTCTTGCCTAATACCTATCTAGTCTAATATCTGTTAGTCTGGACATCTTGTTACCACCTGCTTTGCCACACAAGGAATTTTCATTTTTGAGAGTGTCACCTCAGAAAGGAAGTAGCATTTCCATGAAAGCAAACAACAGTTTGGGATGTACTTTATTGCTGGATCATCCCAGAAAGCAATACTTATGATGTACATAAAAGCAGCTTTCAGCATATACCCTGTGATCTGGCAGTTGTAATTTTCCACAGGCAGTGAGGATTTTTTTACACCCAGCGAATCTGTACTAGGCTTTTTCCCCTGTCCTTTTATTTTCAGATGACTAGTCATAAAGCCCATTCAATTCCTACTGAAGCCAGCTGTAGTTTTTCCACTGACTTCATTGCACAGGCCTCTCAATAATCACATTGCCATGGGTATGATTTCAGCTGTACTCCTGTCTTTCAGAAATAGCTTTCAGCAGAAGAGTGCATCAGCTTTGCTTCTCTTCTATCATCCACATGCCATAGTGGCATGGGAGGCGCTTTTTTCAGTCACATCCAATAGTTCAGACACTTCCACATTTTCAGAACTCTCTTCATATATGGAATACTTCTGTGTGAATCTCTCTAAGACTAAAAACATAGATCCATTAACATTTTCACAGCACACAGTGAAAAAAGTCTCAGCGAAATCAATGTCAATCCTGAATTTATACTCCATCATTCCTGTTTTACCATTGATTTCAGTGATGTTACAGTAGTAAAGAACAGTTTGTTTTTCACAAGAGGCAGGTTAGTAAGGCAGCAGCAGAGAGTTGGTACAGGAGTGTGACCTCATCAGAGGACAAAACTCACCAACTGAAACATGAATCTGAATAACAGAATTATTGTACGACAGCAGAGACAGAATACGGGTTTCTCTAAAGAACGCTGATGATTAAGTGTGCAGCAGAAGGAAACTTAGCTAGGGGAGAAGGTGAAATTAGAGATACCATCACTACAGTCATTGCCACGGCAGTCATAACATAGCCCTGAACTGCATAAAGACTTACAACACTGTGGCTTTATGTATTTAAAGCAGGTGAAATTTTGGGCTTGTTTTTATCAAATCTAATGGAGCATTTCAGTACTGTGATTCATTAAGGGCTTTTATCTGTCACATGCCACCGTGCATGATTTATTCAGCTCAGGACAATGCATCAATTCACAATACTGAGGGGAGAAAAAAGAACCAGGTCAGAACAGCTGGGTGAACAACAAGTATTTTAAATTTATTCTTTACCTTTAGAAGAGGGACAATTTTTTGCCTTCTCCTATACCCCATTGCGATTTTTTGGGTATGTCAGGGAGTTGGAATGACAGATTTTGTTAATCTGGCTCCACTGTGCCCCTTTCCCTGAGAAGGTCAATCATCCTTTGCATCAGTTTGGGAGAAAAAGCAGCTGGAAAATTCATGCTGTTTTGAACCTGCTGGAGATCCCTCAGTTCAGGGAACTCTTAAATCTAAATCTGGCTTGTTTGATTTCATTTAGCCCCACACATGCAAGTAAATAAGGCAGACTACAGGACCCAGAGTTTTTAGTATTTATAAGAAATTAACAAAGGAAAACCAGAGAGAGCATGTGCTGAATTTGATCTGTAAACTGAGCAAACATGTACAGGAAAAAAACTGGGGTAAATGAATGTAGAACTGTTGGATACTGATGCTACCGGCTGCAGTGTTACTGGAAATAATCGTGACTTTGCTCGCACGACTGGTTGCTTTCTCATGAAAGTATACCATTGCCCTGTGGAGGTAAGAGGTCCTTTTTTTTGACCAAATGGACACAACTCTGCTGTCATTTATGTGAGTGTATTTTGGCATTCTTCTGTTGATTGCAATACCATTCCAGCTGCACGATCAGAATTTGACTCTCTGACTGTTGATTTTAAAATTTAGTCCTGACATTGTCCATTTATTAACAGAGGAGAGATCAAAGTCAGAGAAGCATACTGTGTCAAGATGAAGCAAAACCAGCAAGCTGCTAGCAAGCTGTTTCTGCATTTTTGCTATAGAAACGTTGCTTTGTCTGCAGTTCATTACACAGTGAGGTTGAGTGAAGCAAACCAGTAATTCAGTTCACCCAAACGTTCTTTAAAAAAACTAAATGTACATTGTTAAATTGCACTTATTCCTTAAGCCAGGCTCTTGGGTTGTTGTTTGGGGAGGACCAGGGAGGAGGGGTGGGTTTTTTTGTTTCCTGGATTTTTTTGTTTTGTTTTGTTGTTGCCTTCTATGTAATGTCACGGTCCTCTTTTGTTTGGAAATCTCCAATAGATGGACCCTTGCTGATGCAAACAGTTGTGGACCAGCATAGTGATTTGAGTAATTCCACTAGACATTGGACTAGGAGGACTGATGTTTCCTTTGCTCAAACAGCTGTAGCAACTGCATCAGTGAAATTTGTAGGAATTATGTTTAGTCCTTGCTGCTTCGGGAAGCACTGATAAAGGCCAGGAGTTGGGTATGTGAGGAGTCCTGCAATGGTGTAATAATGCTTGCCAGTTCTGGTAAGGCTGTCTGTCTGCATAGGTCCTATCAAAGGAAACAAAAGACTGTTAGTAGACTCAGAACCAGGTCTTTTCATGACTTGTATATCTTCATACTGCTATGGCCTAAAGTACATCAACTGCTTTTTCAGTAGCCCAATAAACTGATAATCTGTGAGAAGATAGCTTAAGTTTGGACTGGAGAAAAAGCAAGAAATTAAATTATGTTGCCAGGGTTTCTTGGAATGGTCATCCCCATGTTTTAAACTCAGTAAGAAAGGGTGAGCACAGGCCAACATCAGACAATGAACGGAGACTTCTAGCAGCTCAGACCTGAGGGCCACAATGCAGCAGCCAAAACTGTGTACATTGAGAGAAGTGTTAAAGCAAATCCTTAGAAATGCTGTAAAGTTACTTTCTTTTCTACTATACATCTATTTATCTATATCCTATTATTTTCTGAACTATCTTATTTCAAAATACTGGCAGAAGTCATTGGTGTGAGCTCTTGGTTTCCTGAGTTCTGTCTCCACTTACTAAAAATTAACTTTACCATTTTTAAAAAAAAAACACCACAGGTCATTCTTTTATTCCTCCGTGCCTTGGTTTTCCTGACAGTAAAAGCCTTCCACGCACTCTGGGAACTATTTTGCAATCTAAAGATTATGGAACCATATGATCATTTTCACTGTGCACATGCAAGTTCTCACATATATAAGTATGACAACTTTTTTTTGTTTTACATTGTGTCTTAAGGACCTGTAATTTCCTATGGTAACAGTGTGTTAGTTAAAGAAGTTTTAAAATTGGTTATCTCTGCTTTGTCAAGCAATATAGAGGATAATAACATTAGCAAGTATTAAAAATGATGGAAAAGAATTTGGTATCGTTTAGCTGGTCAAGAGGTAACAGTCTTTCTAGACAATTCGCATTCCAATCTGCAATTAAGCATAATCTTAATTCTGAATTTTCAGAGCATTCAGAAATCCTATTAGCTCACCCCCCCTTATGCTTCTTCCCTCCTCAAGCTAAGTTAGTAACACTTAAATTCATCTGAAGGTAAAAGGGGGGAAAGAGGAAAGAAAATAGGGCCCAATGAATGTTGAAAAAATGCTATGATTCGAATAGCTCCTTGCCACCAAGTTGTTTTCTTTTCTGCAGCACAGCCCTCCCTGAAAGGTCAGAAATATCTTCTCCCTGTGGTGAAGACTCACCCTGATGAAAGTGGAATGGCTTTTTCTCATGTGTTACTGGAAGGAATAGCTGGGTTCCAGGACAGGAGGGAAATATTTGGTAATTTGCAAGATCTCTAATAGGCTCCTTCTCCTGCATTTTTTTCTCTTACCTTGCTAATTCTTCCATTCCAAGAATTAGCTACTGCTAATACCAGTCCACCTTCGTTTCTCACGTAAATAAGAAAGAAACAAAACAGTAACAAAAAGAAAATACGATTGCCAGTAATTCTCCTGTTTCAGTCATTGCCAGAGGAAAGTAAATACATCCACATAGCTTCACTTCCCTGGAGCTTGTTTACATTTCTGTCTGGTTTTCTTCCTCTACAGGCCCACAAGCCTTTTCTAGAAGAAAGTACTCCTCTAGACCTTAATCCTTCCCTGGTCTCTGTCTCTTACTGGGAGCTTTCTGTAGACCTAGCTTTTTTCCCAGCATACACTGTTACAAAGCCAACTGGGATACAGTGGCTGTTTGTTCTAAATTCAACATTTTTCTTATGAAACTTCAGGTGCAATCTGCTGTATGTTCAAAGGTCTGACTGTTACAAAAATACTATAGAATTTATTAAACCAGTCATTATTACTGTAGAAACTGATCCTAAAATGCCAAAAGGATATCCTTTTTACATAATATCCCTTTTAAAAAGGGTATTATAGAATTTGCCTGCCATACTATCTATTAAAAAAAATTCCATGCTAATCAAGGAATTCTTCTGCTGTGTTTAAACCTTTAAAATAAAAGACTGGAAATGGCTTGCATGAAGATAAACCCATCTGAAAACAATTCTGTTTTTTCTGCTGAGGAGTAATTATCTTGAAAATCTGTGGAGCCTCCATTGTGAAAATCACTAATCCCTCTAAAATAATGATTTGTAGCAATGCTCCAGAAGCAACTGAAGCTGCTCAATTTAATAACAAAATCCTCTCTGCCATCCCCAGTTTTGTCAAACTGGGAAATAAAAAACACAGCTTTGCTCTGGTTACTTTTTTTCAAAGTAAATTTGATGATGTTGCCTGATGGTCAGCCAGAGATTGAAATTCTCAATATACTAGGGAGAAAGCTGTGGTGCAGACGTAGAAGTAGACAAATCACTTCACTGTTTTGGGTGGTTTAGGATCCTTTTCAATGCTTATTGAAATGTTCTTTTTTAAAACCATCCAATTGTGATAAAACAAATGCAAGTGATGAAGAAATTACAGTTCTCAGCAACCTGTTCCAAATAGTTAATTATTACTGTTTCTAGTGGAATTGGGTTTTAATCGCAGAAAGAAATGTTCCCAGAAAACTACAAAGCTCAGAAGCCCTAGACCAGAATAAGGCCAATAGGTATCTTGTGGGGGTGGTGGTGTTAGTGACAACATTATAAAAATGCTTCAGTTTAGAAAACCGAACAGCACTCTGAAATGGCCAGGGTTGCATACACATACAGTGTTTAGTCTCTTTACCATCTACTTACATTTGCTGTCAAAGTAGAGTCAGAATAGGAAGAAAATATTTGCAATTGCTATGATCTGTCAATAATAGGTCAGGGCTGGGGTTAGGGGATGTGGTTTAATAATTGCCTGTGGTGAATGCTAGACTGAACAGCATTTTCTCATTAAGCAGCACGAGTACGGTCTCTGGCCTTTCCCCAGACAGAGAACAGGCATCTCTTTTTAAGGAGTCTGTTTCACAGTTCTAGCATTTCTACCTAATCAGGAACAAATTTCATTGTAACAGTTCCCTTTTTATTTAATTCACTTTAGAACCATCCACTATATTTCTCCTGGATGTAGCTTTTGATCTTTTAGGCTATTCAGTGTTCCCACTGACTTGGTTTTATAATAGTTCCCAACTTAGTGCAGGCTGTCCTTTCAAAGAATCAAGTGCCTCTGTGTGTATTTATGTATAAGTGGCACTTCAGTTTGTGTGCATGTAACCAACATAATCATAAGCTGCCACTAATTCCTAGTTCTATGATCAATTCCTTTATATCTGCCCAGATGAGGTGAATTATTGAACAAAATTGTGCCCATGCTGGAATAGTGCTTGTTGGGGTGGGAAATTGCCTGTAATTTTTGCAAATCCCACGATAGTGTTAGGACTGCCAGCCTCACACTTTGAGCAGCTGTCACTAAGAAAAACCTTTTCCTCACTTCACATGATCTATGGCTTAGAAAGTCAGTCATCTTATTCTGTGATGTGATTTGTGGGTAGCTCCTTGCCTGTTTGAAGAATGTTGGCCATAGACATTTAACTTTCTTTGCTTTAGATTTGTCCTTGACTCAGAAACTGGTAAAGCTGTTGTTTTATGTAGAGAGCTGCTCCCCTCTCCTCCCCTTCCGCCCACGTAATTCTACATAAATAGGACTAAACCCACTGTTTTTAACATACTAGCCAAGCAAATCATCCCCCAAAGTTCTAATAATAGCGGTGAAGATCAAATGTACGCCCAGATATGAGCACTTCCAATACGTCCTACCACATGCCCCTGCCATAGTCCCAGGGTAGGGGTTTGGACACACCTACAATACCAAGAAGTTGAAGCTTTGTGGTGGGTAAGGTTAGATCCTACACAGTTCATCTGCCTATTTGCAAAGTCATTCTAAGCAACCCCAGTAACCAACAGTCACAAACCACTTCACCCGAATCTGGAACGTGCCTGTTACATTGCGTGGACTTTAAAGGGAGCTGAGGGCTGAGGCCAGGTTTCTATCTTCAATGCAGTTGGCATATTAGTCAGCTTTCGTACTGATCGTGGTCCTAGGCTGGAGCGCTGTGCTTCTACAGGTCGCCTGCTCCCTGAGCCACCCTGCCTCTCGTACAGCTCTGCGAGGTAGGCTTGTCCTGTTTCATCATCCCAATGAAGAGCTCGATAGACATCACCTCATCTTTCTGCGGTGTTTGCATTTAAATGAAGTGTGAACACCATTTGTGAACGATGTTCACATCATGTATCAATCTCACAATGACTTCTGCTTAGGCTAAATCCATCTTTAGTTTACAAGATAGTTTAGATTTCAGTGGAATACTGAGAAGGTCACTCAGATTGCAACCACGCATTTTTGTACCGGTACTTGCTACAAGCTGGTACTTAGGATAAGTAAACTATTTATGTGGTGTGGTCCAAACAAAGACAAGAATGTTCAAAACTGGTTTAGGAGAGGCATAAAAATTTTTATTGATTTGTGTGAAGAAGCCTGGCTGGATATATATATTGATACTCTTGTGCGTCCACCTGTAGGGCAGATGTCTCCTGCTGTCTCCATTCTCCAAAAGAAGCAGGATTTTCCCAAGTGCTGTCTAGTGTTTTACTAATAAACTAATGGACTGAACTTTGCTGTCTGGAGTCCTAAATTTTGTTTTGAGCTTTGGCCAACAGCCTGAGCAATGCGTTCCTCTCAGGGGGAGATGTGATTTCCAAGCCAGCCAGCGCAGCTCTTGTCAGTGCTGAAACATGCTCCTGTGTGCCCTCCTAAGTCTGAACACATTTTACCTTGCTTTCCCATGCACGATGCATCTTCTTCTGTTCTGTGCAGGGTCAAACCCTCCATTAAAAAATACAAGTCAAATCAAGAGATTACAGACCCAGATTTTAAAATACCTCAAAAATAGTTCAAGATCTCTACTGGTAAGAACTGGAGGCAGCTGTGTAATCCCCCAGGGCTGCTATTTTAAGGATAATTCCAAAAAGAGAGACAGTATTGTGGCTGGTTATCAGGAGAGTGATATTTCTGGGCTATTTAGGCTTGACACTGATAAAAGGAAAAGGCAAGAAAAAGAGAAAGACAAGTTAAAAAAGCTGTTGCTGTCTCCTGCTGTTCAGACTTCCTTGTACTTGTGTTTTGTACCGGGTTATTTTAAAAGTGTACTTAAAAAATATTTAACTGACTGTTTTAAAAAAATGTAATTGGAATCCCATGTACAACAATTACTATCGATTTTCATGTCAAATGCAGAATATTCTTTGGGGGCGGGGGGTGTATACACATATATGCGCACATCTTTCTCCTCTCCCTCCTCTGTAAGGAAGTGATTAGTCAAATGCATTAGTGGAATGACTTGCTTGCTGAAAATTACACAGGTACATAACCCGTACAGAGCTAGATCCTTTATTCTAGATATTGCACACTGAAGAGACTGGGAATAATTTTGTCTTTTGCTGTCATTTTTAATTGATTTTTAGTCACTTTATCATAGAAATGCAAACATGGTTTTATAATTTGTTCATTCAGATCCCGTTGTGTTAGAAAGTCACAGCCTTTTTCAGTGGCATGAAACAGTGGGGCAGTATATAAAATAAAGTTACCTAGTGCAGTTTGGTGTGTATTGTACTTGATAATAAATTATGCACTCAGTAATACACAACACTCCATCACAGAACACGCTTAGTATGTGTACAGCTTTTCCCTTATGAGGTAGTGAGCAAGCAATCCTTTTCCACAAATATCTATGCCAAAGTTTAAATAGTTAAGTAACTAAAGATAATTAGGAGACGTAATAGATATTTTGTTTGTAAGTGTGGGAATAAGCATTGGAACTGGTAAGAAAGCTTTGCAGTCTTTGCTATATTTGATATATTTACTCAGCTTTTCCCTATGACAGATCTAAATAGCACTCTGAGCAGTTCATTAGCTTCGGTACCACAAGGTAGTTGTCACTGCTGTCCAAAGTGCAATGCCAATAACAACTAGTCTGGCTGCAAAAAGATCACTGAAGATTTTGAACTTATTTTTACAACTGTTTAGCACTGGGTTTTACTTGGTTGCCATGGATTGTCTCATTCAGCGTACTAAGGTGGACAGACCATAGTAAATGCTGGGATGGGGTACTCTCAGGATGTTGCTAATACACAGTCTTCCCTGTAAAAATACGGATTTGCGCTCCTCATCGCTTTTTCATTCTGTTACATTGAAGGGTCTCCAATACCTGTGGGCATTGATGTGCAGGTAGAAAGCATTGACAGCATATCTGAAGTTGACATGGTAAGTTGAACTGGAATAAAGAATTTCAGCCAAAATTCAGGATCTCAGAAACATCCAGCTGGATGATACAGAATAATACAGTTAAAGAAAGCAAACCCTTTAAGAGCACAACCTTGCCTTGAAGCATGCAAGTCACTCTAATTTAAACTAGTAAGTGTTATATAAAAGCACATGTGGAATTTCTCCCTGGGCAAGAGGAGCAGATCAGAGCGGGCAGTGCTCTGATTTGAAAATGCCAACCTTTCAGTAAGCCCCATGGGCCTCCACATGAGCTCTTAGTGCTCTGCCCGTTAGATGATGAGGCTTCATGTCCTTTGCTTCCTTTGCTTATACAGATCTGAATAGTCCCATAATTTCTGGCATGAGTGGAGCTGTGGTCATAACAAATGGAAATAAAAAAAATCAGTTCCAGGAATGCTCCTAGGAAGGAGAAGCCCTCACTGCAATCAAGGACCTGTAGCACTGCAATGCAGGCTGTTCATTCCTCAGCCGAAATTGTCACTAATAATGCCCCACGGACATTAGTGCCAAGTTGCTCGGTCCTAGAATAGCAGAGCATGTTAACTTTGCAAAGAGATCTCATTTACCGTATCTTTTCACAGGGAGTGTAGCTCTAGTTGTAGGTGTTGAGTTTACAATGGGATCTGTCTGTATGAACCCGTGCATTCCTTTGAAAACCTACTTAAATCATAAAATCATATTACAAGGGCATAAAATCATATTACAGGGGAAGATCTAATTATCTTCCCAGTATTCTTATCAGAAATAATTGTCCTACTGAGATAAATGATGTCTGCCTAACAATGCAAAATTTATATAGGTGAGCACAGAGCAGTCAGGCTGTGCAGAAGCTCAGACTTGGTTTGCAGCATCCTCTCCATCTCTTTCCTCATGTATATTTGCGGTGATGTTATTTCTCTAAATAGGATGATAAAATATTTGTAACAATCTTTCCATTTAAAAAAATTGTAATTCTTGTAAAATTTAATTGTTTACCCTTATGAAATTAATCATTTTGTTTCTTTATGATGCCTTTAATTCATAAACATACTAATCTAAAACCCCTGTGCAGTATTTGTACGAAATGTACAGATCAGTGGATTTTACAAATTGACCTAATGCTTATGAATAACTCAAATTAATCCCTTTGTAAAGGAACCACAGTCCGTTCTGGGAAACATTTGTGAAGATTTCCAGAGGAAACCTTTTTCCATTTGCCTTTGGTTGGTTTTAAGGTTTCTTTATCACTTCACTGATTGCCCAATCCAGCAGGCCACTGAAATCTGTAAAAGTTTTACCTAAGTATAAATGAAGGATGAACCTCAGACTCAGACACCAGTGGCAAAGCAAATAGCCAGTATCTCAGAGGTAGTTCTAATCTATCTTTAAACTCATTGAGTGGCATTTGATTCCTCTCATTGAGGATCCTCCAGATGATGTCCAGAGAATAAATCGATCCGTTGCATGAGTTGATTACTTTGTACTGTTTTCTCTTGTACGTGAATAAAACAAGCATTGTCTTCTTTTATTTCTAATTAAACAAAGGACTTCACAATGACTTTATATCTCAGACATTACTGGAAGGATGAGAGACTTTCATTTCATAGTAACAAAAACAAAAGTATGACTTTTGATGGAAGACTGATAAAAAAGATCTGGGTACCTGATGTATTTTTTGTACACTCCAAAAGATCTTTCATCCATGATACAACTGTGGAAAATGTCATGCTCCGAGTCTACCCTGATGGCAACGTACTCTTCAGTCTACGGTAAGAACAATACCTTTTTATAACAAAATACATGACTGCAATTGTCGACCAGTAGTCTGCACAGTGAGAAATTACTGGAAATATTTGCAGTGAAAATTCTGACCAGACTGACATTAATCCCTTGGCTAATGGGATAATGGGAACTGTGACCACTGTACCAGTGGGAACATAAATTTAGGACTGATAACATATAGATAACGTATTTCTCTATCATTCACATATTGTTTCCTGTCACAGGATAATGGCAGTTTTTTCATCTGTTGTAAATAGCGCTGAAGTTGATCAAGTGTTAATTCATTGCCAGTGGTTTCAGCAATATTGCAATAATTTTACTGTTGAGTACAGTAAAGCCCAAAATTATTAGCAATGAACAAATGTGGGTTTTTTTTTCCCCCTGAGTCTTTTAGAACTGTCTGTCTCAGCTATTTTCACCCTGGAATACCTGTAAACATACCACTGGTATTCACTGGTCCCCCAGATAGGCACGGAGAGCAGATTATGGGTGCTGATACCAGCAATGATAGACAGGCGTGTTGTGTGACTACCAGGAACTGGAAAGTAAAACAGCAATTCCAGAACTGGAACAGCAAGGTCATTAAATGTGTCTCCCTTCTATCTACATGTTCTTGCCTTTCTTTATGAAGCAGATTTGGATCATGTGGCAGAAATAGTTTTAATGGAGGAATTTTCCCCCTAGGGTAAAGGCCCTGAGGCCTGCGCATCGCGGAAAACACAGTTCTCCAGTTTGTTACTAATTAGGCCTGTGCACAGAGGTGATATTTCATCTAATCTGGATAGCTTGAAGATATATGCAAGCACTTGAGATTTTGGCTATGTAATAATTGTTCCAACAAGTAATGAATTTATCCACTCTCTCATGAAGACATGCAGAAACCTTCACAACAACAGCTGTATACCACTTTAAAATAGCGTATGTTCAAGAATCACACTGATCAGTAAGAAACAATGAGGTGAAGTATGCATTTTATTGCTATATTCATTTCCATGCTTCATGAGAGAGAGGGGGGGATCAGAGGAACTACACTACTACACTGAGGCTTACAGCCGTGGCTTTCCATGTGAGGGGTATGACATACATTCAGCTGGGGGAAGGAAGAGTGACGAAGAGACCTAAGATGGGCAAGCACATTCTGCCAGCTTGCTGGAGAGGTAAAGTGTCATCAAGATTAGCAGCAAGAAATTACAGAATCACAGAACGGTCAGGGTTGGAAGGGCCCTCTGGAGATCCCCCAGTCCAACCCCCTGCCAAAGCA